GATTGTGGGATGTTGCTTTATTATTTTGAGCTGAGTGCTGCAGAGACACAAGGTATGTCACAAGCCAGTGGTTAGGGGTCCAGAAAGGGCCTAAAAATTTTTCAAAAATTAGAGAAATTATTAGCAAGTTGGCCCATAAATACACACTGGAGGGAATAGGACCTTTAAAACCTGTAATGCCACAGTTATAGGTGTTAGGAGGAGTATGTGAAGGAGTGGACCACAGACATGGATCCAGCCCTCACAGACCCCTTAAACGCTGCCTTCTACCACTACAGGGGCTCAAACCCTGCCCAGTTACGTACTGCTTTCTTATTTTGCCCTCCTTTTGACCCTCGAAAGGTAAAGCTTTGGAGGGGATATCAGCAGCTCCTTTCCCATGCCTCCACTGACCTGGGCTAGGCACCCTGTTTAAGGGATGAGCAGGGCAAACGCTACAGCCTCGTGCTCTGCATAGGGCTGTGCTGCCTGTAGTGCAGGGATGATGGGATGGTGTTTATTTACACTCTGCCAGGGCTAAAGCCACCCTTCCACTGGCTGTGCACAATTTAATTTGGAGAAACGAAGGGGAAGGGTTATATTTGCAGAAGGCTGTAAAACTCTGCTGCCAGCAGCCAGTCATTAGGGGAGGCTGCTTTACGATGCTTCATTTTTTTGCTGTTATAAATCACAATATTTAACTTTACAGAGCTTTATTGTTAGCTCTTCCAGCCCTATAACCAGGAACAGCGAGTAAACAAGAGGTGCTAAACCTCTTTGCCCATCAAAACCTGCTGCTTCTATTAGCTCTACTCTTTGCTTGCAAGGGGTTTTCTTGTGTCTTTTTTTTTTTTTACTTTTTTATTTTTTTAAAACAAATAATTTCATCAAAGAGGAGACAGGTTGAGGATGACCATCCTGAGGTGCCTTTTACTACGCGTGTTACTGGATTGTGTGTCGTGCTGAAACGTGTTTCTCTGTATCTTCTTTCTTTGGATCAGAGCAGGATATCCAGGTCCAGACACACCAGCCGGTTCAAAGTCAAGGGCTTGCCACATCCTATCTTTTCCAAGTCTGATCCATATATATTCAACTTCCCATACCCTTATTTTTTTTTGAGGCTGCAAGTGTTAATTCAGGCACTTCCAAAATATGGAGCAGCCGCTGGTGGGGAGATGAATACATGAAGGACTGTAGTGATGCTGCCTATTTATTCCTGAGGGCATCCTGATGCTCCCACCCATCTTAGAGGTGCCTTTGCCCCGTACTGGGGACACAGACAGCTTTTGCTTCTGCCTCCTTGCAACCACATTTACAGATCAGGGCTCAGGTACTATTTATCCACATTTTTGAGCTGCTTTTGGCACTAAACGAATATTTTCACTTCCCAGGCTGCCAAAGACCTAACATGGGTTCAGGTTCTGGGGGCTGAACAATGGACAGGGCCAAGAGAAGACTGAAAATCTCTCCCTTAAAGAAGTGATTATTTTTTTAAGTCTTAACAGACATGGGGTCATATTGTCATGATTTTTTGTTCTAAGGAATGTCACTAAATCAAATTTTTTGGTGCTCTACTTGAAGAACACAGCCTGAAAGTTCAAATGGGATAGAAAAGGCAAGAGATCCCGCCTGCATGCTAAGATGTGGTAAGAGGAAGGGGCAAGGGGGGGGAACCCCACAAAACCATTGCTTTTGTGAAATCTAGCCATGAAACTAATTGTTCTGGAGATCTGCTGTGTTAGCATTCATCCTGCTGGGCATGGGCCACAGGAGACAGATGCAACCTCTGATTTGGAGGCCCCTTATGCCTCATGGCAGTGCTGACTTAGGCTGCTCCTCTTGCCTGAGAAAGGCTGCTAAAAATGGTGGCGTTTTTTTTCTTGTTTTTTTTCCAGATTGAGAAAGTGAAGAATATCAAGGCATAAGAAGTATAAAGTCATTTTTGGTTAATGCATGGACAAGTACGGATATGGCCAAGCTGCCCGAAACGAAAGAGAACAGAGAACATGGTACTAATGATGACAAGAAATGGCACCCAAGGTTTTTCAGATTGAAATAATCACTTTATTAAGGTATATGAAATGCCAAAGAGTGCTGGGTATCACCACAAGGCCATCCTGGTGCTGAAATGTGTCTGGAGCTGGGTGTGATGATGCTGAGCTCCACATCCACCCAAGCATACTTGCGAGCAGGTGAGATTTAATGTAAATGATTCTGAACCAGAAAGGTGTGTAATTGCTATTTAATGCACCATGAGCATATTTTTCATAGAATCCCAGAATGTTAGGGGTTAGAAGGGACCTTGAAAGATCACCTAGTCCAACCCCCCTGCCAGAGCAGGACCACCTAGATTAGGTCACACAGGAACGCATTCAGGCGGGTTTTGAATGTCTCCAGAGAAGGAAGGAGACTCCACAACCTCTTTGGGCAGCCTGTTCCAGTGCTCTGTCACCCTCACAGTGAAAAAGTTTTTCCTTATGTTAACGTGGAACCTCCTATATTCCAGCTTGCACCCGTTGCCCCTTGTCCTGTCATTGGACTTCACCGAGAAGAGCCCAGCTCCATCCTCCTGACACTTGCCCTTTACGTATTTATAAACATTAATGAGATCACCCCTCAGTCTCCTCTTCTCGAAGCTGAAGAGACCCAGCTCCCTCAGCCTTTCATCAAAAGGGAGATGTTCCACCCCCTTCATCATCTTTATGGCTCTGCACTGGACTCTTTCAATTCCCTGTCCTTCTTGAACTGAGGGGCCCAGAACTGGACACACTATTCCAGATGAGGTCTCACCAGAGCAGAGTAGAGGGGGAGGAGAACCTCTCTTGACCTACTGACCACACCCCAGGATGCCATTGGCCTTCTTGGCCACAAGGGCACATTGCTGGCTCATGGTCATCCTGCTGTCTACCAGGACCCCCAGGTCCCTTTACCCTACGCCACTCTAACAACTCAGTCCCCAGCCTAGACTGGTACATGAGGTTGTTCTTTCCCAGATGCAAGAAAGTGTCAAAGCTGTATTGGTCTGTCTGGGAAAGAGAGTGTGCTGTAACTGTATGGAGAAAACCCCCCAAAACCTAATGACACAGTTTTATAGGTACTAGGGATAAAATATGCCATCATTAACATCTGATCAGAATTTATCTAAATAGTCTGATGCTTTTATTTATAGCCAGGTACCTCCATTGCTCCAGTACCATTGACTTTTACTTTGCATAATGTTATGAAATAGTAATTTTTTAAAACTATGTATTTCTCAAGACGTTTTTTGGTTGTTTGGTGTTTTTTTTTTAAAATTTTTGAAGACTTGCACAATGATTAAAGCACTAAACTCAAGCCTTTGAGTCACGAACTCTTTCAGGAGGTGGCTTCAAACCCCAGATCACGCTGCAACCCCAAGCACAGACCTGGGACAATGCGACTTAAACATGTGCCATCCAGCAATGTCAACGCACAGCATCGCTGTGACCTGCAGACTGCCTTTTAGCTTACAGCATCCACAGCTCTGGCTGCAGTCGCTCTGGCTCTAGTAGCCTTCCTTAGCTGCTGCAAATAAGTTTGAGGGGCACAAGTGCCCCAGTGCATTTAGGTGGTTTAGGAACCAGCAGTATTTTACCCCCCTGGGGTAGCTTTGGCTGTTCTCAGCCTGCCTGGATGCCACCCATTCCCAGCCTCGAAAAGAGATGGAGGGAAGCTGGTGATGATCCCCTACCTGTGCAAGAGGAAGGCTCCTTTTTTTTAAATTGTTTCTCTCTACATGGGGCTGTGTGCTCCCTCCTTTCCATTTTCTATAGCTGTGGGCTTGGTTCAGCGCCAGCTGGTGCTTGCAGGCTCCTGTGAGAGCTGCAGTTTGGGTTCGTATTCAAGTAATTCTGTGTACCAGTGCAGTCCCCAGGGTCCCTAAATAGGCAGTGTTAACACTAGTGAGCAGG